TGGAGTCCCCAGTAACATAACCTCTGGGAAAAGGTAGGACCTTGACAGTGATAAAAATGAGGGGTCCGTTTGGGGGGGGTGTGCTCCTGGACATTTTCACACCTTTGACCACACTCTCAGAGTGGCCCAAAAAAGGTGTCCAAACGGGGCACAAACATGTGAAAAGAGGTTGCAGCCGGGCTTTAAACCCTAAGAGGTCAAGGAGAAAGGTGATTTAAGGGCCACTTCCGGTTTGCAGGAGGCCACTTGCGGTTTGGGAAAGCTCAAGTTTCCCAGCCACACCTGCTGGCTGTTTGAAGCTCCAATCAACTCATTTTTCATCCCTCCCCTGGTCACTCCTTGGCAAAAGGAAGTTCCAAAGGAGTAAAAAGGGGGTGATAAAAATGAGGGGTCTGTTTGGGGGGGTGTGCTCCTGGAACATTTTCACACCTTTGACCACACTCTCAGAGTGGCCCAAAAGGTGTCCAAATGGGCTCAAACATGTGAAAAGAGGGTGCAGCCGAGCTTTATAAAAAAAACAAAACCTAAGAGGTCAAGGAGGGCTCAAAAGGTGATTAAGGGCCACTTTCGGTTTGCAGGGAGGCCACTTCCGGTTTGGGAAAGCGACTCAAGTTTCAAACACAGCCAACCGCCCTGCTGGCTGTTTGAAGCTCCAATCAACTCATTTTTTTCATCCCTCTGGTCACTCCTTACCTTGGCAATAAGGGGTGGAAGTTCCAAGGAGTAAAAAGGGGTGATAAAAAATGAGGGGTCCGTTTGGAGGGGTGTGCTCCTGGACATTTTCCACACCTTTGACCACACTCTTCAGAGTGGTCCAATAAGGTGAGTCCAAACGGGGCCTATAAAACATTTGTGAAAAGAGGGTGTGCAGCCGACCTTTAAACCCTAAATAGGTCTAGGAGGAAAAGGTGATTTAGGGCCACTTTCCGGTTTGCAGGAGGGGCCACTTTACCCGGTTTGGGAAAGCTCAAGTTTCCCAGCCAACCTGCTGCTGTTTGAAGCTCCAATCAACTCATTTTTCATCCCCTCTGGTCACTCCTTGGCAAATGGAAGTTCCAAGGAGTAAAAAGGGGTGATATAAAAATGAGGGGGTCCCGTTTGGGGGGGGTGTGCTCCCTGGGACATTTTCACACCTTTGACCACACTCTCAGAGTGGCCCAAAAGGTGTCCAAACGGGCTCAAACATGTGAAAAGAGGGTGCAGCCGGGCTTTAAACCCTAAAAGGTCAAGGAGAAAGGTGATTAAGGGCCACTTCCGGTTTTGGCAAAGCTCCGGTTTGGGAAAAGCTCAAGTTCCCAAACCTGCTGCTGGCTGTTTGAAGCTCCCCATCAACTCATTTTTCATCCCTCTGGTCACTCCTTGGCAAAAGGAAGTTCCAAGGAGTAAAAAAGGGGTGATAAAAATGAGGGGTCCGTTTGGGGGGGGTGTGCTCGTGGACATTTTCACACCTTTGACCACACTCTCAGAGTGGCCCAAAAGGTGTCCAAACGGGCTCAAACATGTGAAAAAGAGGGTGCAGCTGGGCTTTAAACCCTAAAAGGTCAAGGAGAAAGGTGATTAAGGGCCACTTCCGGTTTGCAGGAGGCTCACTTCCGGTTTGGGAAAGCTCAAGTTTCCCAGCACACCTGCTTTGGCTGTTTGGAAGCTCCAATCAACTCATTTTTCATCCCACTGGTCACTCCTTGGCAAAAGGAAGTTCCAAGGAGTAAAAAGGGGTGATAAAAATGAGGGGTCCGTTTGGGGGGTGTGCTCCTGGACATTTTCACACTTTGACCACACTCTCAGAGAGGCCCAAAAGGTGTCCAAAGGGGCTCAAATATGTGAAAAGGGTGCAGCCGGGCTTTAAACCCTAAAAGGTCAAGGAGGAAAGGTGATTAAGGGCCACTTCCGGTTTTGCAGGAGGCCACTTCCGGTTTGGGAAAGCTCAAGTTTCCCAGCCAAACCTGCTGGCTGTTTGAAGCTCCATCAAACTCATTTTTCTTCCCTACTGGTCACTCCTTGCAAAAGGAAGTTCCAAGGAGTAAAAAGGGGTGATAAAAATGAGGGTTTGGGGGGGTGTGCTCCTGGACATTTTCACACCTTTGACCACACTCTCAGAGTGGCCCAAAAGGTGTCCAAACGGGCTCAAACATGTGAAAAGGGGTGCAGCCGGGCTTTAAACCCTAAAAGGTCAAGGAGAAAGGTGATTAAGGGCCACTTCCGGTTTTGCAGGAGGCCACTTCCGGTTTGGGAAAGCTCAAGTTTCCCAGCCAACCTGCTGGCTGTTTGAAGCTCCAATCAACTCATTTTTCATCCCTCTGGTCACTCCTTGGCAAAAGGAAGTTCCAAGGAGTAAAAAGGGGTGATAAAAATGAGGGGTCCGTTTGGAAGGGGTGTGCTCCTGGACATTTTCACACCTTTGACCACACTCTCAGAGTGTCCCAAAAGGTGTCCAAACGGGCTCAAACATGTGAAAAAGGGTGCAGCCGGGCTATTTTTTTAAACCCTAAAAGGTCAAGGAGAAAGGTGATTAAGGGCCACTTCCGGTTTTCAGGAGGCCACTTCCGGTTTGGGTAAAGCTCAAGTTTCCCAGCCAACCTGCTGGCTGTTTGAAGCTCCAATCAACTCATTTTTTCATCCCTCTGGTCACTCCTTGGCAAAAGGAAGTTCCAAGGAGTAAAAAGGGGTGATAAAAATGAGGGTCCGTTTGGGGGGGTGTGCTCCTGGACATTTTCACACCTTTGACCACACTCTCAGAGTGGCCCAAAAGGTGTCCAAACGGGCTCAAACATGTGAAAAGAGGGTGCAGCCGGTCTTTAAACCCTAAAAGGTCAAGGAGAAAGGTGATTAAGGGCCACTTCCGGTTTGCAGGAGGCCACTTCCGGTTTGGGAAAGCTCAAGTTTCCCAGCAAACCTGCTGGCTGTTTGAAGCTCCAATCAACTAATTTTTCATCCCTCTGGTCACTCCTTGGCAAAAGGAAGTTCCAAGGAGTAAAAAGGGGTGATAAAAATGAGGGGTCCGTTTGGGGGGTGTGCTCCTGGGACATTTTCACACCTTTGACCACACTCTCAGAGTGGCCCAAAAAGGTGTCCAAACGGGCTCAAACATGTGAAAAGATGGTGCAGCCGGGCTTTTAAACCCTAAAAGGTCAAGGAAAGGTGAGAAAGGGGCCACTTTCCGGTTTGCAGGAGGCCACTTCCGGTTTGGGAAAGCTCAAGTTTCCCAGCCAACCTGCTGGCTGTTTGAAGCTCCAATCAACTCATTTTTCATCCCTCTGGTCACTCCTTGGCAAAAGGAAGTTCCAAGGAGTAAAAAGGGTGATAAAAATGAGGGGTCCGTTTGGGGGGTGTGCTCCTGGACATTTTCACACCTTTGACCACACTCTCAGAGTGGCCCAAAAGGTGTCCAAACAGGCTCAAACATGTGAAAAGAGGTGCAGCCGGGCTTTAAACCCTAAAAAGATCAAGAGAGAAAGGTGATTAAGGGCCACTTCCGGTTTGCAGGAGGCCACTTGCGGTTTGGGAAAGCTCAAGTTTCCCAGCCAACCTGCTGGCTGTTTGAAGCTCCAATCAACTCATTTTTCATCCCTCTGGTCACTCCTTGGCAAAAGGAAATTCCAAGGAGTAAAAAGGGGTGATAAAAATGAGGGGTCCGTTTGGGGGGCTGTGCTCCTGGACATTTTCACAACCTTTGACCACACTCTCAGAGTGGCCCAAAAGGTGTCCAAACGGGCTCAAACATGTGAAAGAGGGTGCAGCCGGGCTTTAAACCCTAAAAGGTCAAGGAGAAAGGTGATTAAGGGCACTTTCCGGTTTACAGGAGGCCACTTCCGGTTTGGGAAAGCTCAAGTTTCCCAGCCAACCTGCTGGCTGTTTGAAGCTCCCATCAACTCATTTTTCATCCCTCTGGTCACTCCTTGGCAAAAGGAAGTTCCAAGGAGTAAAAAGGGGTGATAAAAATGAGGGGTCCGTTTGAAGGGGTGTGCTCCTGGACATTTTCACACCTTTGACCACACTCTCAGAGTGGCCCAAAAGGTGTCCAAACGGGCTCAAACATGTGGAAAAGAGGGTGCAGCCGGCTTTAAAACCCTAAAAGGTCAAGGAGAAAGGTGATTAAGGGCCACTTCCGGTTTTCAGGAGGCCACTTCCTGTTTGGGAAAGCTCAAGTTTTCCAGCCAACCTGCTGGCTGTTTGAAGCTCCAATCAACTCATTTTTCATCCCCTGGTCACTCCTTGGCAAAAGGAAGTTCCAAGGAGTAAAAAGGGGTGATAAAAATGAGGGGTCCGTTGAAGGGGTGTGCTCCTGAACATTTTCACACCTTTGACCACACTCTCAGAGTGGCCCCAAAAGGTGTCCAAACGGGCTCAAACATGTGAAACAAGGTTGCAGCCAGGTTTTAAACCTAAAAGGTCAAGGAGAAAGGTGATTAAGGGCCACTTCCGGTTTTCAATAGGCCACTTGGTTTGGGAAAAATCAAGTTCCCAGCCAACCTGCTGGCTGTTTGAAGCTCCAATCAACTCATTTTTCATCCCTCTGGTCACTCCTTGGCAAAAGGAAGTTCCAAGGAGTAAAAAGGGGTGATAAAAATGAGGGATCCGTTTGGAGGGGTGTGCTCCTGGATATTTTCACACCTTTGACCACACTCTCAGAGTGGCCCAAAAGGTGTCCAAACGGGCTCAAACATGTGAAACAAGGGTGCAGCGGGCTTTAAACCCTAAAAGGTCAAGGAGAAAGGTGATTAAGGGCCACTTCCGGTTTGCAGGAGGCCACTTCCGGTTTGGGAAAACCCAAGTTTCCCAGCCAACCTGCTGGCTGTTTGAAGCTCCAATCAAACTCATTTTTCATCCCTCTGGTCACTCCTTGGCAAAAGGAAGTTCCAAGGAGTAAAAAGGGGTGATAAAAATGAGTGGTCCGTTTGGAGGGGTGTGCTCCTTGACACCAATGATGGGGCACGATTCTCCCCCCTGACACCAATGATGGGGGCACGATTTCTCACACACTGACACTAATGATGGGGCACCATCTCATGTACTATGTCAACAGTCTCTGGTCATCTCCTGTACTGTGTCTGCAGTCTCTGGTCATCTCCTGTACTGTGTGTCCGCAGTCTCTGGTCATCTCCTGTACTGTGTCCGCAGTCTCTGGTCATCTCCTGTACTGTGTCCGTATTTGTTCATAGTTCAAAATCACGCCCAGAAGGCTGAGGTGGGATATACCAGCCAATGATGGGTTAGATGATAGAGTGCTTATGGATGAATGGTTCACATTTTTTAATCATTGTGAAAGCAAACTGCTGGAGCTTATCATCAAGAGGAGACAATTGAAATTAAAGAGAAATTAGAATCCAAGATTAAAGAATTAAAAGATATCATGTTGCCTTTTAGTGATACTTATGATTTATAAAAGAAAGATCCAAATTGGTTCAGGATTATATTATGAAAATTGACAAAGATACGAAAAATAAAAAAGTTAAAAAATATAAGAGAGATTACAAATGGCAAGATATTTTGGAGCTTGAGGAATGCGATTCCAAACATTCAACTCCTGAAAAGGATCAGCAAGGTGGTGTAAAATCCCCAGTTTTATCCAAAATTGCATCTTCTCCTAAACAGAAAGTATATTTTCAAAATTATGGGAGGGACCAAAATAATATCCCGGACAAAATACACCCTTTACAAGGGTCCTACTATGAATGTCGTGGGAGGTCCAATAGAGGTTTTTTTGGCTATAGAAGATCAGGAGGATATAGAGGAAACTGGCCAAGGAGAGGGGGTTTTCAGAACAACTTCCCTGGCCGGGGGGGGGGGGGTTTCAAGAGTACAACAGGGGATGGAATTTGATTTCAAGGAATTACATACCCCCAGAGAGGGGATGGAGGGATCAAGATATAGTGAGAGCTAATCGATCGTTTCTAAGAGATAGTGGTGAACTCATTGCATCCTAAAATCAGTAAGAAACATCGAGAAGTGTATTTTGGTCACCATTGATGTTGAATCCATATATACCAGCATCAATCAGAAGGATGGTATTAAAGCGGTTAAGTGGGCACTGAAACATAAATCCAAACTCAAAAAGGTCCAGAGACAGTTTATTATGGAGAAATTGGAATTTGCAATGTCAAACAATTTCTTTTGGTATAAGAACATCTTCTTCCAGCAATACAGAGGTGTTGCAATGGGACCTAACTATGCCCCCAGTGTGGCTAACCTGGTCTTAGACAAATGGGAAGAGGAATGTATATTTGATAAATGGCCGGAAATGATAATGTATAGGCGTTATATTGACGATATTATAATGATTTGGAAAGGTTCAGAAGGAGATCTTGAGAGATTTACGGAATTTATTAATAATAATGTTTATGGATTGAGGTTCACAGTCAATAGTGACCCTGAAACGGTCAATTTTTTGGATCTAACATTATATAAACATAAGGGACGTATTTTGACTAAGACTTTTTTTAAAGATGTAGATTAGAACAGTTACATCCCCAAATCTAGCGGGCATCATCCTAGATGGTTATTTTCCACTCCAAGAAGCCAGTTCACACGGATCAAAAGAAATTGTAGCACACAGAGTGATTTTGTTGATCAGACCAATGTACTGATCAACAGATATATAGAACAGGGGTACAATAGGTCTTTTTTGGAATTGGAAAGGGAGTCAATCAATCAAAAAGATAGAGATTCTCTCTTAATAAATAGGAAAGAAAAAAAGCATACGGACAATATAGCTTGTATTACAAACTATAACACTCAATATAAAAAGATTGAAGCCATTTTCAGGAAATATTGGCTAGTTTTGTTGAAAGATGAGACCCTCAAAAAAGTCATTCCTTTAAGACCAAAGTTTATCTATAGAAAGAATAGATCGTTGCGTACTAAACTAGCACATAATGTCATAGATCTGCCTAAAGAAATAAACCTTTTTTCCAACTTAAAAGGTTTTTTTCATTGTAATAATTGTAAGGCTTGTAAAACAGTTAAAAAAGATTCAAAAATAAAGAGAAAACATTTTGTTACTACATCTACGAATAAAGATTATAAGATTGGTTCATTAATTTCCTGTAACTCCTCACACGTGGTGTACGTGTTAGAATGTCCGTGCCACTTTCAGTATGTGGGAAGGACAGGGAGGTTATTGAAAATAAGAATAGGTGAATATTTAAATAATATAAAAAGGGCTATGGCAAACATAGTGTTTCTAGACACTTCAAATTCAAACACAATAGTGATCCTAGTTTGTTGACATTTTATGGAATAGATAAGATCAAAAGGCATTGGAGGGGAACCGATATGATTAATGAGATCTCCAAAAGGGACACATTCTGGATATATGAACTTAATTCCTTAAAAATAAATGGTTTAAATATTGACATCGATCTAAATTGTTTCTTGACCAATTTTTGATCAATCTTTTTGAAGTTACATTTTTTATTTTAATATCTGCATATAACATCTGCTGCAATTTTGCATATTATTATGTGCAGTTACAATATCTGGCCGTCTATGATGAGTGAATTTTTGATCGATTTTTTTTTGGGAGTATAAGTTGACGAGTTTTTTTTAGCTAAAGATAATTTGGTTTTAGTATCTGCCTATAATATCTGTTTATAGCTCTGTATACTATATGTACACGTATTAGATCTGGCCATCTACGATAAGTGAAATTTTCTCAGCATTGATTGGCCTAGGATATTAGATAAGGGTTTTATGAACCTGACATCATTAGTATTAAATATAGAAGCCCATAATTATAGGTATATTATAGTGATATATATATATATATATATATATATATATATATATCTATATGGTTCTTTTTGAAATACCTACTAATGGTTATAATTATTAGGGGGTGGCGAGTTTATTATGCTTTATATATATCTGAACTATATAGATGTTTGTTACATCGTGTAGTTTGAGATATATATGGTTGTCATTATTATTTGTTATTATTGATGTATTATTGTTTATTAACTTATATGAATTATGATCCATTAATTTATATGAATTGGGAATAATGAGCGTTTAAGTTCTATGACTATGCTTATTATTTTATTTATTTAATTATTGATTATTATATTATAATTTATGGGTACATATGAATTGCGATTTTCATCTAAATATTTGTGAATATCCCTTATTGTTTTTGGGTTTGCTTGCCTGATCATTTAATTTTAAGTATTTATGAATTGTATATGTTTAGCTTTATTATATTGGATAAATCTGCAGAGATCGAGCGGTATTGTGTTACCATAATGCCGTTTTCCAATTGGATGCAGTCAGTCTGCAATGCAGAGTGAGTGAGAGATATAAGGTGAGAATAGACGTCTATCATCCATTCCGCCCTGTGAGGACATCGGATGATGAAACGCGTAGGGCGGAGCTTAGTGGATGTGACGTCAGGACGCTGTTCAAGACTGTTAGCTGTGGTATCGCGGTGAGCGAGGCTCGTCCCTGCTTTCTCGAGGCTGTCAATGCTGGTGTCGGCTAGACACCCTGTTTGTGAGTGTATACCCGATGTTATTAATAAAGCATACTTGTTTTAAACGTACTGCACCATTATACTCTTTCTGATTCCCCGAGCACTACCTATGATTATGGAGACATGATGACTACCTGCTGCCCAGGCTGTTCCAATTTGTGCTGATTGGCTACTTGCAGTATATTGCTCCCTGTTTTGGATACTTCTGCAGACCATCGCTCCCAGAGCAAATGCTATTTTGCTGATTTATAATTTGATCAGCCAATAGCTCTGGTGATTTTATCCATTTCATTCGGTGGTGGATTTTTTGCACGGTATTTTTTGTTTGTTTTATACAAGATAGCAGAATCAATTACCATTTGTGATGGTGGATGGACTTATATAATCACGAACATTTTGCTTGAATTTTTATTATTTATTATTTAATATTCTATATCTTGTTATTTTCATTCATCTATTAATATTTTCGGGGTTTATTTATTATTTAGCGCATTCCTTTATTTACTTTTATTAAGGAAGAAGAATAAACTGCTTAATGTGACCCCAAATGCGGGGATAAAAATAGAAATAGGTGATATACACGTGATTCCGTGACACAAAATAACAAAAATCATATAAAATTATATCTAATTTGTAAAGTGAATCTCATCAAAAATAAACTTAAAGTCCAAAAACCACCTAAATGTTGGAGGTGTTTTGTAGTCCTTAGTAGATATACATATATGAGCTGTTAGACATAGGGAATCCCGCACTGAGTGAAATGCCCCCTGACCTCCATGAAGCAACCCCACAGGGTCAAAGCGCTTTTTCAAATAGTACCGCACCGTTCTGGAACCTGGACCCCTTCTTACAGGCACAAGGTCCAACGCAGAGTCAATCCCCCTCACTGGTGGAAAAAGGCACCGCAAGTGGCCTTCACAGAGATATCTGGGAAATAGCCAATCCTCATACAGCCAGAGAAAGAAAGGAAGATACTCCCATAGTGTAATAACGTTTTATTATTAAATACTAAGGTAATATAAGTGCCACTCACATGTAACTGGCTTTACATAAACTCTGTGTGTAACCACATGCTGTGGGTGTACTTTATATTGATGTCTATTAGAGTCCCAAGATGGCGTCCACGCCAGAAATTACGTCACCCTCCTGCAGCCAGTATGGAGATTTTTGGTTTTTTAGAAAATGGAAACAATAATTTGGAAGATGTTTTTAACAAAACTGAGCCCAAACAAACAAACGATTTAGATACCTTGTTTAGAAAACTAGGACATCTTATGGATAAAAAAGTGGTCACATAATGGGATATGGTTACTCATGAAAAATATCTTAAAGATAAATTAGTGCCAAGAAGACTAAGATGGGATGTACCTATATGTGACAGTCTGATAGATCAAGAGTCCACCCTAGAATGGTTCGAATTTTTCCATGAAAAAGGCCTGGAGGTAATTACGTTTTTATTAAAAAGAAAGCAAAGAAAAATGAGGAATTTAGAACAACAAATAATGAAAACTAAGGGTAAATTAGAAGCATCTAAAGATTCAGCAGAGTTTAATAACCTCACCTAAAGATTGAATAAGGATTTGGAAAAAATTGACCAAGAGGTATAGAAAAAGCAAAAAATACCAAAGGGATATGAACGATTTTAAAAATAATCAAGTATTCAAATGGAAAACCTCA